GTGGAACAATATATGCCTTCTGAAGAAGAAAACAATAAGAGATGATAAAATGAACCTCTATGCGTCCTCACAACATTTCACTGTTTCCTGGTGACTGAGCTGACAGCAGCAGTGCAGCGGCGCAGCAGCAACACGTTAGAAACTCAAGTGTTTACAGCTTCCACACAGATCCTTTCATTCAAGTCACTCAGTTTATGCATATAACAGTGAACCCTGCCTGTAGGTCTGTTCAGTACCTGCTGAAGTCAGCAGGAAAACTCAGACATCTGCAGCAGACAGAGGTCTCACTCTGAGCCTTTATTTAACTGACAACATTGAGTCAATTCAAGATAATTCCTGAACTTTACTCCAACCAAAAAACTGGTTGAGGGAAGATTGAGGGAAGAAGAGAACAGCTATCCATTTAGGAGGAAGAAATTAAATTTATACAACAGTAGATCTTTAATGTATTGTGGTGCTAAGCCGTTCAGTGATTTATAGACTAAGAAGAGAATTTTTAAGTCTATTCTCTGAGCTAGAGTGAGCGAGAGAATAGGTCCCTGTAGCTATTGTACAGGAGTGATGTGCTCCATCTTCCTGGTTTTAGGAGAGAACTCCAACGCAGCATTCTGGATCAGCTGATCAGATTTTTTGGACAGATCTGTAAAGATACTGTTGCAGAAGCAATGTGACTAAAGATAAATACATGAATGAGTTTCTCTAGACATTAGACCTCTAATCCTGGAAATTTTCTTCAGGTAATAGAAGGTCTTCTTTGTAACTGTCTTTATGTGGCTCTGAAGGTTCAGGTCAGAGTTCATCACCACAGCCTGCTCAGATTTCAGCCTGATCTCTGGTTTCTAGCTGTAATAACTGAAGCTCTATGTTGACTTTAGATCAGTGTTTGTCAAACTGTGGTTCCTGGATCACTGGTGGGCTGCGAGCGCCGCCTTGTGGTCAGCAAGATCATGAAAGTAAACCAACGTTTATTTGTCATGACTTGAGATCAAAGTGTGATACATACAGTTAGCTTACCAAATGATTGTGTTTAAAAATAATAATGAATAAGTGACTTAAACCAAGACACTCAAAGGAAAAGCTGAAGATAGAGATTAAAAGAAAACAACCTCTTTCAATTATATAAGTTATATAAGTATAATTCTCCGATTATATTTATAATCGGATTATATAAGTATAATGCTCCGATTATATTTATATAATCGGAGGAAGCCAAGTCACACCTGCTGGGACTATTAAGCCGAGCGATCACGACCGATTTGATGATTTGCTCATCTGGATAAAGGTTTTCAATTTCTTCATTTTCCTGTTGGCCAGGACATCGATCAATCCTGGCCACATTCTCTGCCTGAAATTCTAGGTTTTACTTTAACTCAGGCGAAAATAAGGCCAGCTTCACACTTCCAAACCTACAGAAATTAATATCAGCAAAATTTCTTTAAACAGACAAACAAAAGTCCCTTAAAAAATAGAGTAGTTTGAAAACAGCAGCAGTTTTATATGACGTTAGGAACAGAGAAGCCTAGTACAAAATGCAGCTGACGGGAGACTCGATTCTGTTAAACTCTTCCTGGTGTCAGTGGAACGCCACTCAGTCAGTCAGTCAGTCCACAACACCAGAAACCCAGAGCAAAACAAAGCTGACTCGAGGCCAACTTTATTTTACCTTACTGAACACCTCCAGGTCTTCGTCCTCATCAATGTCCAACATGTGTCCTGAAATGTCCGCCGGAACCGTAGCTCCACTCATTACAATCCCCGACTTTTTAAATGAAATGACTTCAATAGGAAGAATTGAGGAAAACTTCCATTCCAACTTTTGAGAGGCTCCGAATCATTCAGCCACAGCTACCGAAACCACTTCCACTGAGCGTTTTCAAAAATAAAAGCATGACTACGACTTTGGTCATAGTTTATTTATAATTAGTCAATTAAAAACACTTCTCTCACAGCATATTATGAGATCAATATTATGTAAGTTACTGGCATATAAAACGGGAACAATCAGTCTTTAAGTCAAATTCAAAATCAGGTACAGTCAATCTTGTCTACACAATAATGTTTAACAATTATTGGCAATAACTAATAGCGCTAATAATTCAGTTTGCAATCAAACCTTTTCTTGACCATAAACTTGACTTCAGGTTGGATAGAAGGTCAGCAATAATCCTCTGCAGATGTTGATTTCAACTCAAGAAAGGTGAGGGATGACAGATAAAACAGGAACAATGTAACACTATGACAGGAATCATTAATTTCAAAGAGATTAGATTAATTTAACACTATTAAAAAAGTAACAGACTGCCCTGATCTTTTAATTAGGAAATTAATACTGGTGATTTTATTTTGGTAAGCAGCTAATGTACTTCCAGTATAATAATTTTCTCTTTTCTATGACTGGAATCTATAGTACGCAGATGCGGAAGACTCACGTGAGTTCATAATCAGTTCCAAAGAATCGATAGAGAGCCACAGAACTGAGAGCGACGGTCTGTAACTTATCACTGCCGCTAGCAGACACGATGGTGGTTTTACATCTGTTTCGAGAATGCTGCAAGACAAACTTTTGTAAAAGATATTCCTTATCTCCAGTGATAGTACACAAAGCTGAAATGGCGATTATCCCATTGTTTCTGTTGAGTAGCTATAATACAGTAGATGTAGCCACTGCCTTTTATTCCTGGTGAGACTGTTTAAAACGCTTTTGAGAAATTACAAAATAACTGCAACTTTCAGGAGTGGTTTTATTAGTAAAAATTGTGAGAAAATTGATCTTAAACATTTAACAAAACCATTTATGAGCCTGCTGTTTTATCATTACATTTAGTATAATGTTTGATTTCTGTATGTTTTTTTTGTTTGTTTGTTTGTTTGTTTGTTTTTCTTTGTCCAGGTTAACTTAAAAATTTTGCTATTATTGTTACAGGTTAATTTTCTAAGCTACAGAAAAGTAATAATTAGAGGTACACAAAAAGAAATTAATGTTAATGCTGCCATTGGGGCAGTATTTACCAATATTTTATCACACTTTTTATTTGATTACATGATTAATAAAGTCTGTTCTTTCATTCATCCAACTGAAGGTGGCAAAATAAATGAACAGTACTTCATACAATATTTTGCTTATTACACATTGGTGCATTTTTAGATTATTTCACTGAGATAAAGCTAATTTGGCCTCAAAAGACAGTTTTATGTTCAAAAACACAGGAATTTTTCAAACCACCAAAATTTATGGCTTCTCAGTGTTTCTAAGCTGTATCAAAGATTATAAAGCTGAAAGTTGAAGATTTTGCTGAAAATTACACATTGGTGCATTTTTGACTTTTTTCACTAAGATTGGCCTATTTTGGCCTTAGACAGATTTATGTTCAAAAAACAGGAATTTTTCAAACCGCCGAAACATTTTGCTTCGTAGTATTTCTATGCTGTTTCAAAGTTTTTAAAGTTGAAAGTTGAATATTTTGTTGAAAAGTACACATTGGTGCATTTTTTAATTGCATTTTTGAATTCACTGAGATAAAGCTAATTTGGCCTAAGACAGTTTTATGTTCAAAAAACACAGACATTTTTCAAACCACCAATATCTGCTGTTTCTCATTATTTCTACGCTGTTTCAAAGATTATAAAGCTGAAAGTTAAATATTTTCTTGTCACTCTTGTAACAAGCAGCATTCTACTAATACATTGTTTCTTGACACATTCCTCATCTAAAATAACCAAATCAGCCTTACACAGAGTAAATGTCAATGGAGTAAGTAAATTTATAATTCATCTTGTTATTTCTCCTCTCTTCAGTTATTAACCTGTAAGAAGCCTTGTTCCTATATGAGTCTCTAAGAAACTACCCATTCTACTTACACTGTTTTTGTCCAAGTAGTAAAAATCAATTCCATATTTTCTCTTTTATATTTGTGCAGGTCTCATACATTTTATGTTTAAGGACGACTTGTTCGAAGTTCAAGAATATGCGTTTATTGTTTGATCTCTCTGTGATATGCACAATACTTGTCCAATATTGTGCATATCACAATTTTATCACATTCTGAGCACTGTTTATTTCTGTGTATGTAATGTCATTGTTGCACGTAGTACCTCCTTCTCAATTTCAAGACCCAGAACTGTTCTTTATGAATGCTCCTGCGTCTTTCTAAAACACGTGCTCAAAATATTAAGATTGTTTAGATTCTAATTTCTGCGTGTCGTGGAAAAAAACTCTTTCCAAGCACTGTTCAGGTAGAACCACTCAATCAGGTTTGTTCATGCATTGTGCACAATTATGACAGCTCATAAGACAATGAATAATCAAGCCCGTCTAGATGCAAGTCTAACCCAGCTCACTAAGCTCTGCCAGCTTACAAGATATAAGTTTTCATACAATGATTAGAAACACAGTAAAATTTCCAGAGTAAATTTTACTCAATTTGAAAAAAATTTTACTCTAAAAAAGACATTTGGTCCCAGTCTAAATAGAGTAAAATTTACTCTCATGGAAGAGTTGAAATTACAGATTAAAATCAACACAATTTAGTGCAAAAATTTTAATCAATGCCAAGAGAATTTACTCCAAGTTGTTTAAAAGAAAAAATACTCTACCGTATTTTAACTCCAAGTAGAATATAATTTACTCCAAAAAGCATTGCATTCTATTCTAAGTAGAGATAAATTTTAATCTAATTAAAAATGAATTTTACATAAAATAGAATAACATTTTATTCCATATAGTATAAATTGTGCTCTTAATAGTATAAAATTTTAGTCCTAATTTCATTTTATTCCATATTGTGCAGTTAAACATTTAATTAAATTCTAAAGTAGTACCAAATGTAAATATTTCACTGACGAAGCAATTGTTTTACAGCTATAACACACAGCTGTTTGTAAGAGTACAATGCATAGACCAGAAATCAGAATTTGGACAGCCATTTTTTATTGTTCACAGAAAACAGCATGGAACAATTTAAACATTTGCGTCTTCATGACTGTATGACCTTGAAATGAAAAGCTCTGGAACAGTAAAGCTCTTCTACATAAATAACATGAGGTCCGTCTCTTGTACACATTGACCAGATCATGATCAAATGAAGTGCCAAACATAAAGTGAGCTTTAAAAAGCTCATCAAATCACGCTCCTCTGAGTCCTTACTGCAAGCAGGTATGGTTGACAGCTCTCTGCGATGCCTTCAAGGTGCTCCTTGATGCTGGTTCTTGTCTGTGGCAAAAACAGAATAAAACATTATTAGTCTTAGGTTTCAAATAAGACAGGGTTCTAATAAATAAGGCAAATTACTTTTCAGGATATCTTAAATGTCACTTGAAATAAAATTGAAGACCAATTTCACAAATGTTTCCTTTACTCTAACCTTACCTTGACAAACTTCACAAGATGTTCACTGGCTTGTCTGGCTGAGAGTATTCCCTGGTCTCTTGTATCCAGGAGGTGACTGTGGCAGGAGGTACACCAGGATCAAAATGGATGACATGTCACTGTCCCATCCTAGAAGAAAAAGTTAAAGAAACATGTTACCAAAACTTCTTATCTGCAACCATGTTAATACTTCCAGAGAAAGCTTACCAAATCTAACTAACAGCAGGAGGAGGTGCACTTATATTGAACCAATTCAAATAAAATTCTGTTACATAAAACACTTTCTTTATAAGTAATTGCAACTTACCATTTTCCACTTCTGTTGTGCCTTCAGCATTGTAAAGAAGGTTCTGAAGGTCATCAGACTGTGTGAGACTGCGGCTTTGTTTGAGGATTTTATGCTTGTAGACAGTGGGCCACTTCTCAGGGAACTTTGCAGAGATGGCTTCCCCAAACATCAACATAATATCTTGCTCAACCTGGAGAATAGATGAAGTGAGGGTTTTAAAAATCATTTTAAGTTTTCTTATTTAAACTTTGTTGGTTAAACTGAAGTGAAAATAAACATACCAATCCTCCTATGTCCAGGAATCTTGGAAGTCCAAAAAGACACTAGATGACTTCGCTGGGTCATGAATCATCTTCTGACGAGAGTTGAAAGTCTGTTTCATGTTCCTCATAACAGTCTCTTCATCAGCTGTGTGCTTCATCAGTGCAATAGCCTCAGAACACAAGCTATCTGTCAGAAGATAGTCTTCTTCTCTCAAACAGTCTCTTATCAGTTGTTGGTCCCCCTAAAAAAACATATATATGTGAGACTCCATGTTAGGATTCATAAATAAGGCTTGGGAACTTATTGTGCAGTTTGGTTGCAGGATGAAATGTGTACAAATATAAATACATATACCTGTTTGGGTTTGTGACAGTCTGGGGACCTTTTTTTGTCCATTAGAAGCTTCCCTCTGTACAAACTTCAGTCTCCAAGCCAAATACCCACTTCCATCTTCTGCATTGTAATAATGCTCCTAAAAGTAGGTGAATGACAAATGTTTTTAAAGCTGTCAAAACAAAGACAACCGTGACAACTTACACAGTTTGCATATAAAGCACAACTTGAATTCTGTTTTTTTTATTATTTTATCGTTGCTCTACGAGCTGCAACCCTAGGATTCACTAAAATAATACTATGCTAGTAATTTCAAGAGCAGTTACTAGCATAGCCTTCTCGCGCTTTTTCTGGGCGGAATACTGACTCCACATGCTAGCAGAGCTAGCTCCGACAGTACAGCTCAGTCTCTCAGCTTAAAAATAGCGACAGCCTTGACTTGTGAAAATAAAATAATGGACGAAGCATTGGACAGCATTGATGTTTTTTCTGCGTACATTGCTGTAAACTGCTAAATTAAGTTAGCTGAAGTACACATGCTAACTAGTTAGCCAACCATGTTAATTCCTCGCTGCATCCCTCCTTCCTCCTGTTGAAATAATATTTTAAATTAGCACAATACTGCACAGGATAGTTTTGATACATATGAAATATACCATAGAAAGTTAAAGTACACTCTACATTCACATAAATTGAGATAAAGATCCAAACTAAAACAACTGCTGAATCTCTGAACTTATATAAATTCTTAGGGAGGATTCTACAGAAAAGACAGGCCTAGAATCTCTTTAGACAGAGTCTGTCTGCCAGGCAATTAACAAATTCCTTAGCATGGTTCAAAAGTTCACTAGGATCTTAAAACTTTTTATAAATAATTTTATCTATATTAGAATTAACTATATTTCTTTAAGCATGTTTTTAATTAGTTACTTATTAGATCCAAACTTATAGTCATTATTTAGCATTACATTGTGTGCAAGCTTGGTTAAAAATACAAACTACTTTCTTGTGGAAACATTTTGAGGCACAGATAGCGCTGCAGCTGCAATCATATATCAAACTGGACAGCGGCTGATACGAGAAGGGTTTGCCGTATATCTGTTTTTGGGGCTCTTTAGCAGGAGGTAATAAAATTAACATTAAGACAGCCCACACAAAGGAAAAGAACACACCTCCTAATGCATATATTTAAATGAGGAGAATATGCAGTCTATAAAAAATGGTTTGTTTCACAACAGAGGTTGGAATCTCTTTGTGCTGAGTGAGAGTTTCCCGGAGGATGCATCTTCTGTTATACTTCTGTTTTTTTTTTACTCAGTTCTTTGTCTCTGTTTTGTAATGTCTTGGACTTTTGATATTCTAGGTGAGGTGCTTATTGTAACATTCTTCTTGCATTGATTTTCTCTGGATAAAACTCTGAATCTGAAGTCTGACGTCGTATGATTGCTCTTTTCTCTCTGCACACTTACACAGACACAGGAATTCGGGACTAAGAATTAATTAACGAGCTAAGATCAAGTTCTTCATCTTTTTAATTCTTAACACTCCACAACCATACACCAGCACCTTATCACACCTTTAGTCTTAATAATAAAAAAACATATAAAATCCCACGTAAAATATATCTAAAACCCGTTTAGGGACTTACCTGGCACATAGCTAACCGTCGCCTCCGTTTCCACTGCGGGATGACAAGATGGCGGAAGAAACGAAACTTAAGGAACTTCAGTAGGCGTGGTCTTGTTTTACTCCGATATAATTTCCTCTATTTTTTTACTCCGATTCTATTGACCAACTGAAATGATTTCACTCTCTAATGTATAAATTTGACTCTTTTTGATGAAAATAATGTTAACTCCGAAAAAATTACTCTCCTATTTTTCCTGTGAAGGAAAACAAGGGGCAAAACGGTCTTGCATCTCTCACCACAGTGCTTGCATCTCTGTTGGGCTTCCCATGTTGGAAAATGATCAATGATTAATGCCATTCTTTTTCACATCAATAGGCACAATGCAGCTTGTTCTTCTACAGGGTGCCGCTGAAGTCGCTTTAGGAGAGGAACGTGGTCGATTTTGATTTATGCTGCACTTGTCGGAGAAGTGCCAACAAAAGCATTTTTGCGTGTAGATTCAGTTAATCTGTTCTGTAGTGGTTTCAAGCATCAATGATGGTTACTGCAACAATTTTCCTTCTAGATTTATATGCACCATATTTAGTATTGAAAGCCGAACTCCAGAAAGGCTGAAAATATGTCAAGAAGAGCAACAACTCCCATGATTCAACAAAGGCTGGCTTGAAAACCATTGTATGAGTTTTGGAGTGGATGGAAAACTGCTTTATCACTCAATCAAATTTTATTTGTATAGCACATTTCAGCTACAAGGCATTTCAAAGTGCTTTACATCATGAACACAAAACACAAAGGCATGCAACATAGAATAAAATACCAAGGTTTTTTTTGTTTTGTTTTGTTTTGTTTTCCCTTTTTCCCTTTCTTCCCCCTTCCCTTTGACACGGAATTTAAGCGCCTGTTACCGCCGGACTCCGCCATCCGTTTAACCACGGGTATTCGCCCAAAAATAAGATTAAGACGAAAAAAGCTTTCTCTCAGTGAAATAAGTCAATAATGCACCACTGTGTAATTTTGTGCAAATTCATGAAAGTTCAGCTTCATAATCTTTGAAATAGCTTAGAAGTATTGAGAAGCAGTATATTTTAGTGTTTTGAACAATTCCAGTGTTGATCTCAGTGAAAGAAGTCAAAAATAAGACTAAGACGAAAAAAAGCTTTCTCAGTGAAATTAGTCAAAAATGCACCACTGTGTAATTTTCTGCAAATTCATGAAAGTTCAGCATCATAATCTTTGAAACAGCTTAGAAGTACTGAGAAGCAGTATATTTTAGTGTTTTGAACAATTCCAGTGTTGATCTCAGTGAAAGAAGTCAAAAATAAGACTAAGACGAAAAAAGCTTTCTCTCAGTGAAATAAGTCAAAAATGCACCACTGTGTAATTTTCTGCAAATTCATGAAAGTTCAGCTTCATAATCTTTGAAACAGCTTAGAAGTACTGAGAAGCAGTATATTTTAGTGTTTTGAATAATTCCAGTGTTGATCTCAGTGAAAGAAGTCAAAAATAAGACTAAGACGAAAAAAGCTTTCAGTGAAATAAGTCAAAAATGCACCACTGTGTAATTTTCTGCAAATTCATGAAAGTTCAGCTTTATAATCTTTGAAAGAGTATAGAAGTACTGAGAAGCAGTATATTTTAGTGTTTTGAACAATTCCAGTGTTGATCTCAGTGAAAGAAGTCAAAAAGTAAGACTAAGACGAAAAAAGCTTTCTCTCAGTGAAATAAGTCAAAAATGCACCACTGTGTAATTTTCTGCAAATTCATGAAAGTTCAGCTTTATAATCTTTGAAACAGCATAGAAGTACTGAGAAGCAGTATATTTAATGTTTTGAACAATTCCAGTGTTGATCTCAGTGAAAGAAGTCAAAAATAAGACTAAGACGAAAAAAGCTTTCTCTCAGTGAAATAAGTCAAAAATGCACCACTGTGTAATTTTCTGCAAATTCATGGAAGTTCAGCTTCATAATCTTTGAAACAGCATAGAAGTACTGAGAAGCAGTATAATTTAGTGTTTTGAACAATTCCAGTGTTGATCTCAGTGAAAGAAGTCAAAAATAAGACTAAGACGAAAAAAGCTTTCTCTCAGTGAAATAAGTCAAAAATGCACCACTGTGTAATTTTCTGAAAATTCATGAAAGTTCAGCTTCATAATCTTTGAAACAGCTTAGAAGTACTGAGAAGCAGTATATTTTAGTATTTTGAACAATTCCAGTGTTGATCTCAGTGAAAGAAGTCAAAAATAAGACTAAGACGAAAAAAGCTTTCTCTCAGTGAAATAAGTCAAAAATGCACCACTGTGTAATTTTCTGCAAATTCATGAAAGTTCAGCTTCATAATCTTTGAAACAGCTTAGGAGTACTGAGAAGCAGTATATTTTAGTGTTTTGAACAATTCCAGTGTTGATCTCAGTGAAAGAAGTCAAAAATAAGACTAAGACGAAAAAAGCTTTCTCTCAGTGAAATAAGTCAAAAATGCACCACTGTGTAATTTTCTGCAAATTCATGAAAGTTCAGCTTAATAATCTTTGAAACAGCTTAGAAGTACTGAGAAGCAGTATATTTTAGTGTTTTGAACAATTCCAGTGTTGATCTCAGTGAAAGAAGTCAAAAAGTAAGACTAAGACGAAAAAAGCTTTCTCTCAGTGAAATAAGTCAAAAATACACCACTTTGTAATTTTCTGCAAATTCATGAAAGTTCAGCTTCATAATCTTTGAAACAGCATAGAAGTACTGAGAAGCAATATATTTTAGTGTTTTGAACAATACCAGTGTTGATCTCAGTGAAAGAAGTCAAAATAAGACTAAGACGAAAAAAGCTTTCTCTCAGTGAAATAAGTCAAAAATGCACCACTGTGTAATTTTCTGCAAATTCATGGAAGTTCAGCTTCATAATCTTTAAAACAGCTTAGAAGTACTGAGAAGCAGTATATTTTAGTGTTTTGAACAATTCCAGTGTTGATCTCAGTGAAAGAAGTCAAAAATAAAACTAAGACGAAAAAGCTTTCTCTCAGTGAAATAAGTCAAAAATGCACCACTGTGTAATTTTCTGCAAATTTATGAAAGTTCAGCTTTATAATCTTTGAAACAGCTTAGAAGTACTGAGAAGCAGTATATTTAATGTTTTGAACAAT